TTAAAAGTTACATTAAGATCTCTAACAAAATACATTATAACAATTTTACCTTTTGTCAAAATTCAATTAATAAAAAAGAAATGATTGTTCTGTTCTCTTCTACAAAGCCTGTTAAAAAACAGCAACTCAAACAAAGTTGATCGTGTTGGATTACGGAAATAATATGAAGTTTTATGTTAAGCTCATTTTCAGCTCTGGAAAATAAAAAAAAATGAAGGGACTTCCCTGGTGGTGCAGTGGTTAAGAATCCGCCTGCCAATGCAGGGGATATGGGTTCGAGCCCTGGTCCGGGAAGATCCCACATGCCGCAGAGTAACTAAGCCCATGTGCCACAATTACTGAGCCTGTGCTCTAGAGCCTGTGAGCCACAACTACTGAGCCTGTGCTCTAGAGCCTGCGAGCCACAACTACTGAGCCTGTGTGCCACAACTACTGAAGCCTGTGCACCTGGAGCCTGTGCTCCACGAGAAGCCACCGCAATGAGAAGCCCGTGCACTGCAACAAAGAGTACCCCCACTCACCACAAGTAGAGAAAGCCCAAGCACAGCAACAATGACCCAACACAGCCATAAATAAAAAATAATTTATAAAAAGAAAAAAGAAAAAAAATTACCCAAACATTCACCAAATTACAAATCTGACTTTTTGACAAATGTTTGTGACAAGATGATACTGAGGTATTGGAAGACAAGCCCCAGTTTTTAACTAATACTTATATTCCAAATACTTTGAGTATTTTAAGCCTGCATAAGGCTAGACAAATTTTATTTGAGTTTAACTCTTCTAATATTTAGGAGAAAAATAATTAAAAATTAGTCAGGGGCTTCCCTGGTGGCACAGTGGTTGAGAGTCCGCCTGCTGATGCAGGGGACACGGGTTCGTGCCCTGGTCCGGGAGGATCCCACATGCCGCGGAGTGGCTGGGCCCGTGAGCCATGGCTGCTGAGCCTGCGCGTCCGGGGCCTGTGCTCCACAACGGGAGAGGCCACAACAGTGAGAGGCCCGCATAACGCAAAAAAAAAAAAAAAAAATTAGTCAGTAGTTCAGTCCTCTTAATATATTTTTTGTTCTCTGGCAATCAAGGAGTGGCAGTAAAGGAATATCTTTTTTATGGTGCTTGGAAGGTGAAGATCCGTCCATAGGAAAGCAGTTTATAGACACACACACACAAACAGGTACTCAGACATGTCATATACATTCTTCTAGTCTTTCCAAATCTCAGAGAAAACTTATCAGGATTCTTATATTTTACTAAGAGAAAAGACCTATTAAAAAGATCTGAGGGGAATATATGAAGAATAAATAGTTCTTTCCTAAGTAAAAGAGAAGTTAAGAATGAATGAATGGATACTTCAAAAATATTTGTTGAGGGAGTTCCCTGGTGGTCTAGTAGTTAGGATTCGGCACTTTCACTGCTGTGGCCCAGGTTCAATCCCTAGTCAGGGAACTGAGATCCTGCAAGCCACATGGCATGGCCAAAAAAAAAAATTGTTGAAAATTAATTAATACCTAGAACATTCATGATACTGCTAGGCCCATCACAAAAGATGGGGGTAGAATCTTAACTTCCCCTGAACTGTCTTGCCCTTCGTGGATCCCAAACTACTGCAAATCTTTCTCCTCCTCCTTTCTCAGGATCATTTGTTTGCACTGACTTCATCTTCACCTCTAGCCACTTCTCTTCCCAGTACTTCCCCCTAATATTTTCTACTCTAGGTCCTCCATTGTTTGCAGATTTCTTGGGCATACAAGAATAATTACTGGAAAACAGAAAGCATTCAACCCATGTTGAAAAAGACTTTCAGTATAGGGAGGCGTAAGAGGGAGCTAGAGTGAAAGGACAGGGTCCTGTGGGCTCAATCTTGAAGAACAGACAGTCATAAGACTGACTTTGAGAAAAAAAGGCAAGAGCATTCTAGAGAGAAAACATAGTAACGGCTTGGAACTAGAAATGAGCACTGCGTGTTCTGAGAGAGCCGGCAAGGACAGTTTAACTTACACCATTAAAGAGGAGAGTTTCTGGGAGAAGTAGATTAGAGGGGGACTGGGTAGGACAGGGTCTTCAATATAATGACTTGATAGTAATAATAACAAGTAATACTGCTAAGATTTACTGAGTACTTCTATATGCTAGCCACTATGCCTAATGCCCTACATGTAATATGTTGTTTATTCCTCACAGCAAACCTGTAAGGTAGTAATCATGTTCCTAATTTTGCAGCGAGGAAACTGAGCCTTACAGAAGTTAAAGAACTAATCCCAAATCACTCAAATAGTAACTTCAGGTGCCAGGATGTAAATCCAATTTGACTGATTGCAATGTATGCTTCTTTTCCACTGTTTCTACAGGGAGTGGTAGATTAATTTCTAGTGGTATATATGAGTGGTAGAACCGGTAGGCTAAAAGGGGAAGTTAATGATGTACAATTTGAGTTAAAAAAAACAATAACAGGTGGTAAAAAGAAGAAAAACTTTTATACTAAAGGGCCAACAACAATTTACACTTCATTAAGATTCTTTTCTTTTGTATAAAGCATGCTCAAGATTTAATTTAAAAAATTATTTATTTGTTTGTTTGGCTTGCTGGGTCTTAGCTGTGGCATGCAGGATCTTTGTGGCTGCGTGCGGGATCTTGAGTTGTGGCATGTGACCTCTTAGTTGTGGCACGTGGGATCTAGTTCCCTGACCAGGGATCGAACCCAGGCCCCATGCATTGGGAGCACGGAGTCTCAGCCACTGGACCACCAGGGAAGTCCCCAAAGATTTAATTTTAAAAGTCACTAAAAGCTAGAAACAAACCTAAATTATAACTATTCTTAAATAATTTATGCCATGTAATGAATATTATGTAGCTGTGAAAAAATATTTTTGAAGCATTTTTAATAACATGAAAAATCACTTAAACTATGGTAAGGGGATAATTATAATAAGCCTATCATTGAGAAATAAGGGGATAAGTCATGACGTTAATGAAAAATAGTAAAAAATAAAAAAGAATGGAAGAAAATATGTAAAAATGAGAAATAATTACACCTGGGTAGAAGAAGAACAGGCGGTTTATTTTCTTTGTATATTTTTCCTATAGAGTATTTCAAATTTACCATAATGGGCACATGTTACTTTTTTTTTTTTTTTTGCGATACGCGGGCCTCTCACTGTTGTGGCCTCTCCCGTCGCGGAGCACAGGCTCCAGACGCGCAGGCTCAGCGGCCACGGCTCACGGGCCTAGCCGCTCCGCAGCATGTGGGATCTTCCCAGACCGGGGCACAAACCCGTGTCCCCTGCATCGGCAGGCGGACTCTCAACCACTGCGCCACCAGGGAAGCCTCCACATGTTACTTTTAAAATCAGAAAAATAGTAGTAACTAGCAACAAGAGAGATCTCTTTAACTTCCTTTTCATCCAATGACATCTTCCTTCTTTCTTAACTCTTTTCCCCTCTTCACTCTGTCCAGTTTTAGCCCAGTATTTCAGGTGGAAATGGGCATGCTCACTCATATATCTATATGTTTGATGGTCTTTGCACAAGTGGCAATACTGCACAGAAGGGTACCAGGCTAATACTTGTTTCTCAAAGGAATTTAGGATCTTGGCTAAGCACATAGGCTTTGAAGTTATAGAGATCTGAGTTTGAATTATACTCTTGTAATTTATTCACTATGTGACCTGAGGCAAGTTTCTTAACCTGAGGTTAATTTTCTAATATGAAAAAATATTTTCTTCATACAGGGTTATTACATTTTAGTAAGCTAATACCTGGCAGAGAGAAAAAAATTCAATAAAAGGTAGTTATTACTTGGGGGAAGTGCTGTAACCTTCATGTTACACAAACTAGATTCATATATTTGTCCAAACCAGGCTAAATATGTCCTCAAAAGTAGAGTGACAATAATACGTTCCATTTCTACATCCTAAAGGGATCTGCATGGTTAAAGCCTCTCTAAAATTGAAACCCATTTCCTTCACTGCACTTGAATATTTTGTTATTTTACTTGTTTATTTTCTGTATCCCTCACAAGACTCTTAAGCTCCATAACTGAGTGTGTTAGTTCCTCTCATAAATCCAGACACTGGTATAGTACATGGTTATGGTTGGTCCTCAATAAATGTTTGTTGAACAGATAAAACTTCATATTCTCCCAACTGCAAACCTTGTATCTCTGTTTCTGCAAATATATTGAATATTTTGGAATACTTAAGTATTGCCAGTGGAAAAGAGAAACTAAAGGTGACAAGCATTTCCAGTCTACCATAGTACCACAGCTGTCATTTATTTTCCTCTGACCCATCTAGCTAAGCCTAGAAAGAGAGGCCTAGTTCTGCAGAGTCTCTCAACACGAGCACTCCAATCAAGACACAGAAACAACGTACTGTGTGGTACTCCTTTCCAATTTCACATTTCAGAAAAATGGCCACTGTAAACAGTAACTTGACATCCTCGGAATTGCTAGAGTGCACTGAAAAGTACAGTAGCACTTCCTAAGCATACCACTGCGCCCCCCCAAAAAAGAAAAAAAATTCCTGCAATTAAAAGCAAAAACCTAAACATTAAGTCCTTGTTTCTCATCTAAAAAAGCTGAATCATATCTCTCCAATGGGATTATTGTGAGGATTAATGGAAATGGGGCATGGAAAGCACTGAACACAATAGTTAAGTACTAAATAAACAGTAGCCATTGTTAAAACACAATCCTGAAGTGAACATCATGCAGGGGCATGAACATATCCTCTTGTGTGAATTAATTTTTGAACAGCAAAACTGCTTAGGTAACTTGAGTTTCATATTAAAATTACACTGCATTGCCTTTCTGTTTTAATTCTCATTTGTATGAAACTTTATTAAGTAAAAAAAAGTTAAAAACCTTTTTATAATTGCATTTTAATTTAATACCTGCAACTTTATAACTTAAATGGAATTTTACTTTATTTTGTATGACAGAAAGTTATCAAAAGCCAAACTAAAATTATTAAAAATGTTCTTGAAAAAACTATGTACTTTACCTGGCCATTTCCAAGCAGAGATGTATCTTTCCCTATTAGAAAATAGGATCCAAAAAAGAAAATAAAGGCATGACTGAAACCCAAGATGGTCCAATAAAGAAATGTTTTCATGCTTAGTTGACGGTTTTTACTAATGTCTCTGCAAATTTAAGAAAAAGGAAGAAAAAAAGAAATGTATTAGGACTTATTATACCTACTAAATAATTATTACAGTTTGATAATTAAAAAACAAGATGGATTTTTAATTTAAATTTGCTTAAAGATTTTAGCAGAAAGAATAGAACCTAATTTACAAACCACTGCTTATAATATACATCTGTGTAACAGCTTATAATTCTCATAACATATTCAAATACATTTTCTCATTTAATAAAGAAATATGATGTAGGTATAATACTTCAGTTTAATTGTGAAAAGTTGATTTTTCTTTGTTATATTCTTTTTTTTTTTTTTTGGCTGCGCCTCATGGCTTGTGGGATCTTAGTTCTCCAACCAGGGATCGAACCTGGGCCCCAGAGCAGTGAAAACCTGGAATCCTAACCACTGGATCACCAGGGAATTCCCTCTTTATTATATTCTGTTGTAAACATTCAGTCATTCTGCCATGATTGTTTCTTTTTAGTGGAGTCATCTGAGTTAGGTTCAGCACTGAGGCTCCTAAATGAGTTCCTGTCTATCAATAGCTATTATGAGAAGAACCATCTGTGCCAATCTTGGGTCAAGCCCAGTCCTAGACAACCTGGGAAATCAAGGTAAGTTACTGCCATTTCCGGATAACTGAATATCTCTGTAAGTGTAGAGGTCAAGTTAATGTGGGAACCATAAGCTGGTCCTGAGCTGACTCCATATATCTATGATTACTTGGTTCTGAGAAAGGAATAACCCAGGGGAGCTGGGAAGATTTAATGTCCTCAACTCTGCATTTTACATCAATTACTACTCATAAATTTGGCAGTGCTAGAACATGAACTAATTTTTTAGGAACTCCAGAGACAATTAATTACTGAATAACTTCTTTTGTGCCCATGAAACAGAGTATTACTGGTTTACAACAGTAAGTGCAAATTACACAACTGCTCATGCATTCCTAGGATGAAACTATTCATTCCTAAAAACATTGGAAAAAATCATTCAAATGTTCTCTTTAATGTTCAACAATTATAAACCATATGACAACTGAAGTACTTCCTCAGTAAAGCATTAACCACCAAGGCAGTGCCTGATATATCTGCTTATTATTAAGATACTTTCAAAAATTGATAGCTATGTAATGTACTATTTGCAGTAAGAAATGTATGGACATTTAATACTGGAAAACACTTACCGATAGAGAGTGGGCTTGTTCTGTAACACTTGAGGGTCTATATGCTGTTCCAACAGACTATATATCAGAATAGGCAGGGATGTAAAACAAATATTGTATAAAGTCAGGTACACGCTGTCATACAATGTCTAGAAAGAGAAATGTGTAGGAATTTTGAGACCCTAAACTATGTATTACTATTATACTTATGCATGTAATTACAAAGAAGCATATTAAAAATAAATATAAAAATTACATTACATATTTTCTAATTTACACAAAATCCATTTTAATAATTCCAACTTGTTTCTTATATAGACATAGTGTTCCCAGATTTATAATCTTTGTGGAAACTGGAACATTTTGTTATGTCAAGTGATTCTACTATTATAGTGAATTGGATCTATATTTCAAGATACTCAAATTTGGTCACTGTGATTTAATTTTAGACAATTCTCCTACATGTATCCTGGGCTTGTTATTATTCCCTTGACATGCTACACATATAGTTTTGCTTTCATGGCTTTGTCTTCACATCTAAGTCCTACACTTCCTTTAATCCATGATCCATGAAACTTAAAAACACTGGCTCAAATTCCTGATGATAGCTGCTTCTTCTAAAGTCATATGTGCTACTGTTGGTAATTAGTTGGTACTAATTGCTTAGCACTTTGCCTATTCTTCGAATATTGCTTTTCTTAATATTGATACTGTCTCTCGAATTATACTATAAACTCCCCCAAACCTAGTCAAAATAGGTTAAGTCTCCTTGTCACATGCTCTTACAGCATTCTTTATTTCATCCAAATAAGCAAACATTGTTACTGGCAATCAATGTCCAAGCAGGTATCTGAAATTTAGAGTTATAGGTTGTAAACAGAGGACAAAACAGTGATTAAGGGTAGAAACAACTCATTAAAAAAACCTAAGAATAATACACTTGTCATTTCAATAAACTAGAATAAATGTCTTGATCAATTAGAGATGTGGAGTGTGGTATGTGAAAAGGGTGCTCATGTAGTCAGAAGCAGTAGGTCCAAGTACGGTTTAGCTATGTGATCTTGGGCAAGTTACTTAATCTCTATGGATTTCAATTTCCTTTTCTATGTGACATGTATACAACAAAAGACCCACCATGTGTTTATTATAGCTACTGCTAACCTATTACAGAGTTTTCCCCCTCAGCCTATAGCTTCAGAACCCTTTTCAATACAGCACTCCTGGAACGTCTATTAATTATTTACCTTCTGAGATGAAACCCGTATGTCATCCCTGAACTCAATCACTAATGTTTCTTCCAAATCTAAAAAAATTCTATGACTCAAAAAATAAATAATGAGGTAAACTTCCAATAATTATCTGGCCTGGCTTGATATGGATTTTGCAGAAATACTACACGTAAGTTGAAAAAAGTTCACAAAATTCTCTCATAAGCTATTAAGAGTTAATATCTATTTTTTTAAAAAAGCATCCAGAGTTAAAATATATTTTGGTATTAACACTTGCTTCAAACTGAAAATCAGAATAAAGAAATATTATGGATGTTATGCTAATTAAATACATTAGAAAAGTTTTGTCTAGTTATCTATAGGACTAGGAAAAATGGAAAAAGTCACTCCAAGTATCTACCAAAAACTGAACACACACACTTTACTTTAAAAGGATAAAACAAAAGATTCTATTTACTTACTTGTTGAGAAAACAAACAGTAGAACTGATATAAAAACTGGGGTGTGATAAAGCACACATTCTGAAAAACAAGATTAAATGGAAATAATTGAAATATTTAGGTCTAAAAGAGAAACAATTTCTAAAAATGGCTATTAAAAGAGTCCAAAAATATAGTATCAGTTGATATGGTAAGTAGATCTGCCCATAAGAACTTGTCCATATAAAATGGGGAAATAGGATCCCCATTTTATTAAAAAATGTCTAAAAGTAGTCTAGGCAGCATTACAAATGTCAGAAAGAAAACACCTTTGACTCCTATCATTGCCAAGCAATACCGTAATTTTGAATTTATAACCTACCAACTATTATTCAATACTTTTCATTTATAGTACAATAAGAAAAGTTTACTTAAACTTTAGGGCTAAAATTGCTTTAAAATGCAAAAATATTTAAAATACAACAAATGGAACGATCAAAACATCTTTCCATTTCAATAGCCTTATGTCACAGCAAAAGTTATAATAATAAGCTAGGAAAAAACTGCCACCATCATCTGTTAGCATTATGCAATCTACCTGTGTTCTTTCACTGGGTTGCAGCTATTAATTAATTATAGAAATATACGCAATATAGGACATTCTGATGTATTAAATGTCTTGGTACTCAGAGGCTCTGAATATGGATTCCACAGAACCCCATCTTTGCCCATAAGGGTCAAGAGATTAGGACAGTGTTTCAACATAATTGGTTTCCTTGTAATCCTATATATTTATTTTATGCATCTAAAATCCCTATAATTTGTAATCTCAAAAAAGATTAAGAACCTCTGCTTGAAATCATCATATTGGAGTTAAAATTAAAATTTATTACTTCTTCAGGACAACAAAACAATAAAGAAATCAAACTAACTGTGTTCTAATTTGCATAGAATAAAATATTAAGTGTGAATTTTGATGTATTCTGACAAATTCACACAGCCGTGTAACCACCACCATAATCAAGTTGAACTTTTCTGTCATGCAAAGTTCTCTCATATTCCTTTCTAGTCAATTCTATCACCTGCACCCTTGGCCTCAGGCAACCATTGATTTGCTTTCTGTGAGTACACATTAGATTTATTATAATAAAATAATAAAAGGATATTCCATAAACTGTTAGTTTTACTTACAGAGAAAAAAAATTTAAGAATAATTTGTATGGTAATAGCATTCCTTAAATTGAAACCTCAGATACTCTGTCAGAAATTGATTCTAAAATATATCCATGAAACTTACCTTATAAAAAAAATACTGTACAAGGGTAGCTATTCTAATATAATAAAAATGACCATGAACAAAAAGCAATTTGGAGAGAAATTTAAATCTAGCTATTGCATAGTCACTGTTCCTTGCAGCTTGTCTTCCTTCTTTACCCATGATTCCTGTAATAAAGGGGACAAAAAGGTAAGTTCATTGATAACTGGTAAGTGTAATTTTTATGATATATCTGCAAATACCTTAATTAACTGTAGCAGTTGAACCTGGACTTAGGATCACTATGTCCTAAAATATAGTAGACAATAGATTCCCAAAAGGTTGCTCCACTTAAATCAAATATGTAATCAACACAAAGCTGTAACTTATACCAGGCATGTAATATCAATTTTCAAAGAATCAGAATACAATAAAATTAATATAAAAATAATATTAAAAGTTCAGGATCTAAGAACATTTAAAAAAAATTCTAATGAAGAAAATGCTATAGAACAGCTTTGACTTCACTATTTCCAATTAACATGAAAAATATGCAAATTGAGTAATTTGAACCAAGCAAATATGATCATGTTTAATGGTCTTAAAACTTTCATGCATAAGTCAAACACAGTGTGCTTTTTAAATGAAAAATGTACACTATTACTTGAAATCAGTACATAATTTTATCTGATAAATATGAGAACTTCTTTTTAGGTTACTATAATTTTTTAGGTTTCAAAAGTTATTGCCAAACTTGTTTATTCAATATGGAAATAGCTTCGAAAAAATTATTTTTCAAAATTAATATTTTTTACTTTTGTCATAAAAGGATCAAAAGTGTTCCAAAATGTATAGGTAAAGACAATCACCTATATTCACAACTCCTAGAGAAAACCACTATTTTTGGTCTGTATACTTTTAGAATTTTTCCTTATGTGTATTTCATGTATGTATATTTAACATATATAAAAACGAGTGCATAAAGATGGGATTATTTGTTTTGTAATCTGCTTCTGTCACTTACTACATTATGGACATTGTTTATATATGTGTTAACATATTCATTTATTTTCTTAAAAGAAATTCCTGGATGCAAAACTGCTAGGTCAATAGGCACACATTAAAAATTCTTATACATAATAATGCAGGTGTACCAATTTACATTCCCACTAACATTGTATAAGGGCATCTGTTAATCTATACCTTTGTCAATTCCAGGTTTTATCAATCTTTGTAATTTTTGCCAATCTGATAAGCAATTTTAATTTATATTCTTTTAATTATTAGGGAGACATCATTTTTTTCATGCATTTAGTATTCTGTTTAGATTTCTCCTTTTGTGACAACTGATGGCTCACACCTTTCAACATATTTCTACTAGAATGTTTTCCTTATTCTCCTTAATTTGTTAAGACCTCACATATTAGGAAGATTAAGACTGTCATCATTTTGCAAATATTCCTTACCAGTTTGTCTTTAAAATTTGTTTATGGGAAGTATTTACTTCTGCCACACATACTGATCTTTTTCCTTTTTAGTTCCTTGTTTTGTTTGGTTTTGTACCTAAAAGATCCTTCCATACCTCAAATAACAGGATTATTCATTAAAGTTTCCTATTATTTTTTATGGCCTTCAAAAATTATTTAAATCCTTAATCCATCTGGAATTTGTTTTGCTATAAGCAATGGAAAAGAACCCACTTCTTTTTTTCCAAATAACTAGTTATATCAGCATATTTTAATCAAATAATTTGCTTCCCTACTTATCTGAAACATCTCCTTTGTTATATACTAAATTTCCAGATGCTTGAACTGATTCTGTTCACTGGTCTGGCTGTTATCATATTAGAATCAAACTGTTATAAATACTGTAGTTTTTATGTTCTAAAATATGGTATAGGAAGTTATCATCAAATTACTGTGAAGATTTCTGGGAAACAACAGTATACACACTAGAAAGAAAATGAAATTTTCAAAATGAAGAGTTAATAATCCCAAAGGGAAGGAGTTGATTTGAGAGATACACTGGAAATATTAGATCCAATAACTACTCATCACATAGGCAATTCCAGAGCGAGGACTATCCTCTTTTCTAACTCTAAAATTTTATCCTTCAACAAAAAATCCATACTCTTCTCTTTTCCTTCCTCAATAAAATTATTGAGGAAGATAGGTCAGAAAATGGTTTAAATAGGAAATGACTGATAATTTAAACATAATAAAGTGATTTTAGTATTCTGAATCTAATAAAAATTTTAGGCAAAAATAGAAAAGAAATCAGAATGAAGGTTATTAAATTAGAAAGTTATTTGAAATTTTATAATTATATTATAGTTTGGTGTAATTTCCTGTTTCTAAAATTACCTTTAAAATAAGTTGCAGAATCTTTGATGAATAAAGTAAATAATAATAACATTCTAAAATGAGAATTTAAAACCATGAGGGTAACTATGTAAATCACAAATTTAGAGTTTTAAAATGATAAAATAATGATAAAAGTACTTTAAAAGGTACAAAATGGCAAGTAAAAATAAAGTTACTTTATTGGGAAGGAGAACTGGCAAAGATAAAATTCACTAATGTGGTATTTATTTCCTTGAAAATTTGGAAGTAAAATATCCTAAATACTGGGCTTAATTATAATAGCTTTCTGATGGAAATACACTGTGATATATTACCCTGCTGCATTTAGTTTTCATTCATATATTTGATATTGTGCTTTAGTCTACAAAAGGAAAATTCAAAATCACCAACTGATTAAACCAACTTTAAAAGTTCAAGAAAAAATCAGTCACCTATGCCAACATGTGCTTCTTGTATCATGCTTACATCATTAGCACCATCGCCAACAGCCAATGTTATAGGCTTCTCAGGTGAGATTTTTATCAGTCTTATTACCTGAAAGACATACAACTAATTAGTTTTGATAAGATTTAAATATTTGCGTATTTATTTAAAGTCATTTATCTGAAATGATCTGTTTTAAGAAAAGTAGAGCAATGAAAAAAATTTTTATATTAGATGATAATAGGCACTGAGGTTCACTTTTTGAGGGATATCTCCATTAAGATGTTAGGAATGTTTTTCAGAAATGACACAGCAAAACAGTACTATCTTTGGATTTTATGATGGTATGTAAGAATCTTTTAAACACGGTTTAAATTTGTAAAAAGCTTAATAATAATTGTGTAAAAAATAATTACAATTAATTGAACTTTGTCAGGCAATTTTTTTTCTTTTTCAAGAAATTATTCTTTTCATTTGATACAAGGGAAAGATAATTATTTTCTCTCGTAATAAAATTTTTTAAAATTTATAAAGCAATCAAAATTAAATTCAATAAAATCAAAAGAAAGGTTTCTTTGGAATACTTGAATATACTTTTATAAAGAATCTAGGAGGACTTCCCTGGTGGCACAGTGGTTAAGAATCCGCCTTCCAATGCAGGGGATGCAGGTTCGATCCTGGTCAGGAACTAGATCCCACATGCATGCTGCAACTAAGAGTTAGCATGCAACAGCTAAAGAGCCTGCTGGCTGCAATCAAGGAGCCCACCCGCCGCAACCAAGAAAAAAAAAGAATCTAGGCATTAGCTCTGTTTGGTCTCAGGGTTTAGTCTCCATAGACTGGGGGGAATACATGGGTTATAATAATAATAAAATAGGCACTGTAAAAAAAAACCCATGAAGCCAAAAAAACTGGATGTAAAATTTTTTAGATCTATATGTGAAAAAATGTGTTCAGATGTGCATTTCAAAGGGTATCCTTGTGAAGATTACAGTTGTAAAAAATATTTGTATAGGCTATCACTTGAATCATAGTTAGCTGAACTTTAAATAATTCCTGTATACAGCTTCATATCAGAATTGGCTTTTCAACTTTTTACTAAAGTTCTATTTATCACTTAACAGCTATCTTTAACAAAGAGAATTATCACTTTGTAAGAATGCAAGAATAAGCACAGATCAACAGAACCACCTGGAGGTGCAGATGAACTGAAGTCTTATAGGCTCCCTCACCAGTTAAGTAACTAACTTGTGAGACTTCAGTTATCACAGTTCAAATTTATGTCTCAGGAAAATCACAAACTGCTACCTACCACGTGGTCATTTCTAGGTCACAATGATCTATTTCTAGGTCATTATGAATAGTTGAAACTTCAATATTCACTGTGAAATTTCCAAAGGCCTAATGTACGTGGTTAAAATTCATATTATGAGAAGTGACTGACCCCTAGTAAGATACATATACTGCATATCACCAAATGGAACTAGATGAGGCATTAACGTTAAAGAATACTTTTTTTTTTTTAAATTAATTTTATTTTTGGCTGCTTTGGGTCTTTGTTGCATGCAGGCTTTCTCTAGTTGCGGCGAGTGGGTGCTACTCTTCCTCGTGGTGCGTGGGCTTCTTTTTTTTTTTTTTTTTTTTTTTTTACATTTTTTTTTGGGGTTAATTTTTTTCTCCAGACAGCCACAAAGAACCGAGCCGGTTTCCCTGTGCCATGCGGCTGCTTCCCACTGGCTATCTACCTTACGTTTGTTAGTATATATATGTCCATGTCTCTCTCTCGCCCTAACACACCTCACCCTTCCCCCTCCCCATATCCTCAAGTCTGTTCTCCAGTAGGTCTCTGTCTTTATTCCTGTTTTACCCCTAGGTTCTTCATAACATTTTTTTTTTCTTAAATTCCATATATATGTGTTAGCATACGGTATTTGTCCTTCTCTTTCTGACTTACTTCACTCTGTATGACAGACTCTAGATCTATCCACCTCATTACAAATAGCTCAATTTCGTTTCTTTTTATGGCTGAGTAATATTCCATTGTATATATGTGCCACATCTTCTTTATCCATTCATCCGACGACGGGCACTTAGGTTGTTTCCATCTCCGGGCTATTGTAAATAGAGCTGCAATGAACATTTTGGTACATGACTCTTTCTGAATTCTGGTTTCCTCAGGGTATATACCTAGTAGTGGGATTGCTGGGTCATATGGTAGTTCTATTTGTAGTTTTTTAAGGAACCTCCATACTGTTCTCCATAGTGGCTGAACCAATTCACATTCCCACCAGCAGTGCAAGAGTGTTCCCTTTTCTCCACACCCTCTCCAGCATTTATTGTTTCTAGATTTTTTGATGATGGCCATTCTGACTGGTGTGAGATGATATCTCATTGTAGTTTTGATTTGCATTTCTCTAATGATTAATGATGTTGAGCATTCTTTCATGTGTTTGTTGGCAGTCTGTATATCTTCTTTGGAGAAATGTCTATTTAGGTCTTCTGCCCATTTTTGGATTGGGTTGTTTATTTTTTTGTTATTGAGCTGCATGAGCTGCCTGTAAATTTTAGAGATTAATCCTTTGTCAGTTGATTCATTTGCAAATATTTTCTCCCATTCTGAGGGTTGCCTTTTGGTCTTGTTTATGGTTTCCTTTGCTGTGCAAAAGCTCTCTTCCTCGTGGTGCGTGGGCTTCTCATTGCGGTGGCTTCTCTTGTTGCGGAGCATGAGCTCTAAGCACGCGGGCTTCATTAGTTGTGGCACATGGGCTCAGTAGTTGTGGCTCGCGGGCTCTAGAGTGCAGGCTCAGTAGTTGTGGTGCACGGGCTTAGCTGCTCTGCAGCATGCGGGATCTTCCTGGACCAGGGCTCGAACCCGTGTTCCCTGCATTGGCAGGCAGATTCTTAACCACTGCGCCACCAGGGAAGTCCCAAGAATACTTTTAAATCTAAATATATTTATGGGACTTGTTATGACATAAACATACCTTTGCTTTCTGCAGTGGTGCCATACGACAGCACATTACAGCTGAACAATTTTTACAAACTTCCATAAATAGTTTTTCATGTTCCCTGAGTGCAAGAGACAGACTGGTCCCATCCACCACCAGACCATGCTGAATCACATGGTCCTCTGTAATTCTAAAAAAGAAAATAATTATATCCTCTGTAAGATACTTTAAAGCCAGATTATTCAGACTCATCTAGTAAACAAAAGCTTCTTACTGAAAGATGGATCATTTACTCACAGACTTCACTGTTACAAAACTGGCATGTCAGGGAACAAACTGAGTTCTATCACTTGAAAGTTAAGATTAAGCAGAACTGAGAGTGACTGATATGATGAGTAAAACAGATGATATTCATTTTTACAATGAATTGGTATATACACGCAGTAACCATATTTTCTAAAATGTGAACTGTAACACATAATCTGAGGATACTCTCCCAAACTGTGAGTACGGAAAGTCTTACAAAAATAAAAGAAGTTACTAGTTATACATTTAGCAAATCCTAATTTTAAAAAATTAAATGACATCAAGAATGTTCAGGAAAATTTACAAGCTAGATTCACCGTAGGAAGGAAAGGAATGAAGGAATCATAACTGTCTCTTGACATTTAACCCTACAATGGACTGTAATGCCAGGTATTACGACGGTGGAACATGGATAACACCCCTCTTGTGGGCATACACTATACCGAGGACTACTCCAAACCATGACCTAATTACTGGCAGCTGGGCAAGCTACTTGTGACAAGAAAGAGGTAAGAAGAAGAAGAAAAACAAAAAGAAAGATAAGCTTGCATCAGTATGTAAATCAACTGTATTACTGAGCACACTATTTTGTTCAACTGCTTTACCCCGCTCCTCTTTTGGTAATAAGAGTTTCTCGTTGAAAGAAGCAGTGTATGTATATACAGATTTACATTCTGGAGCAAGCTCCTTATGCTGCTAAAGCCCAGCACTCAAAGTAGCACTGCACTAAATCTACCAAAAGGAAAATACTACAGTTCACCACTGGGTTCACAGTATAGCAAGACTGCTACTGAGAAACATCCATACATTTTCAATTTTTTTTTCAGCTTTATTGAGACATTATTAACATATAACATATGTAAGTTTAAGGTGTGCAACATGATGGTTTGATACACATATATACTGCAAAAATGACTACCACAACAAGGTTAGTTAATACCTTCATCCTTTCACATATTTTTTTTCTGTGTGGTGATAACATTTAAGATTTACTTTCTTTACAACTTTCAAATATATAATATAGTACTGTTAATTACAGTCACCATGCTGTACATTAGATCCCCAGAACTTATTCATCTTATATATAAGCTTATATATAAGTTTGTACCCTGTGACTATCATCTCCCCATTTCCCCCACACCCCAGCTCTTGGCAACCACCCTTCTACCACTAGCTTTTTAAAATTCCACATACAAGTATTTGTTTCTCTCTGACTTATTTTACTCAGCATAAGGCCCTCAAAGTCCATCCATGTTATCACAAAAAGCAAGATTTCCTTCTTTTTTATGGTTGAATAATATTCCTGTGTGTGTGTGTATACACACACACACACACATCACATTTTCTTTATCCATACACACATCAATGGACTTTTAGGTTCTTTCCATTCTTGGCTACTGTGAATAATGCTGCAATGAACATGGGAGTGTGGATATCTCTGAGATAGTGATTTCATTTCCTTTGGAAAAATACCCAGGAGTGGAATTGCTGGATCATATGGTAGTTCTATTTAAAATTTTTTCCATACTGTTTTCCATAGTGGTTGTACCCTCAAATTTTAAATGACAAGTGATAAGACTATTAAATGAGCAACAAGCTATAAAAACTAAATAAATACTGTAATTTTTTGTCTTGTAATACTTAATTCTTTTCTGTAAGTTAAAATGATGTCTTTCATAGTATGCCTAACAACTACTGTGTTGCACTACAACTAGTAAGTGGTAAACAATGAACAGTCACAACATAAAATTTTAAAAATGTATATTTCTTTTAATCATTCTCCAATATCCAAAATCAGCACCTAAACTATTCTTCCTCCCTGTTGGCTGAACTTATTTAGCAGCCTCTGCTGCCTCCAATGCATTCAGCGTGAGCACTACCTGAGCACATGGCCTCATAAGAAGAAGTAGCAGCCAAGAGTAGGATAGATCAGATCAGTTTTCCTTGGCAACCTTCCCACAGCATACTAATTAGGTTTTCCTCTGGACAGGTGTCATAAATCAGCATACTATCTCACAATCCATGGGGTGACATTTATGCAGTATGGAAAACCAGCTCACAGTTCTGGTAAACAGTAAGGTAGCATCTGCTTATTTCTGTAGTCTCATGTCTCAATACTTCCCACATCCTCTCCCATCTATTCCATTCTCTGGCCATATTTAACTACTATCAATTCCTTGAGTGAATCTCTCAGCTCTGGGAATTCGCATACATTGCCCCCTTTGCTTCTTGGTGTTACTCTCTGACCAGTTTACATTTCATCGATGGAAACAACATAGTCGTGAGTTCTAATGTAGAGCAAGAGCTTAGCCTAGGCTAAGCTCAGGCTAAGCTTCCCTCTTCTGTCCACCCACAGCTCTCTGTTCTTGCCTCAGTTACAATTCAGTTGTGATAGGTCTATGCCAATATATTTATTTCTGTTTTTCCTACACATTGTAAGTATTCTGGGAATAAATACACCTTATGTGACTCTGTTCCAAATGCCTAGATAAGAGATAATCATTATATGTTTGTGAAGGACTGGATATATACACTAAAGCTTTCAAAGGTATGGAATTCTTTTGCTATACCCAAGATTTTTAGAATAGATACTTCCTGAAAGTCTGTAAATCAAAATCCTATTGGCTTATACAGTTAACTCAGAAAATGCACTCCAGCAACTCCCTGGCAGTCCAGTGGTTAAGACTCTGTGCTCCACTGCTGAGGGCCCAGGTTCAATCTCTGGTCGGGGAGCTAACATCCCACAAGCCTCATGGCATGGCCAAAGGAAAAAAAGAAAAGAAAACGTACTCCACCAAAAAGATGGCATCTCTAAAACATAAGTTTCACACAGCAGGCCTAAAATTCATTTTAAGATATAACCTTCACTTTATAATACAGCTTTCGTACAAAAAGGGAAATGAACAATACCCATGATCTTAACAGACTCACTAAAAGCACATATATAGAAGACTTAAAAAAAATTCTAAAATAACAAGTAATTATCTTTAGATGGCTGTATTATGTTATTAACCATATCTTCTTTACCATTTTCAGTATTTTTTAAATGAACATTTACTATTTTTAAAATCAGGAGTAATATTTAAGAAGTAAATGATTCTGAGCAAATAGTTTGTATGTTTTAGGGAGTTCTTGACATTATGATACTTAAATGTTTAAGCAATCACAACAGTGTTGGCACTGCTCCAAAACTGTAGTATAATTACCTAGATCAATCACCTTTTTGAGCTCAAGCAAAGACCCTTCTGAGAGCTGTACTGTCTCTTTAAAACATTCCTTAAGTAAGTTTTTCTCTGATGAAATCCAGAGTTTAGTATCACATCAATCTCTGCATAACAAATGTAAATCAAGCACTGAATGTACATTGACAACTGTGGCACTGTCTTTTCGTATGTGTTTTTCTGCATTAATATTACAAGACTGCAAAGACAGGTACCTGTAGACTATCTTAGATGGCTACATACAAGCAACCCTGATGCTTACACTGAAGCACTCCTAATTTATTGTAAAAACAACTGACTGTGTTAAATGGGGGCTCCTAAATAAAGTTGATCTACCTAAAAAAGCAGATTTAGAGAAAAAGAGAACGCATTAAGAGCATAAGTACCTATGAAATTATCTTTGAACAGTAAAATGCAGATTAATTTCCGTTTGGTCATGTGAACCTCATCAGTGGTTGGCAAACGTTTTCTGTAAAGCGTTAGAAGTAAACATTTTGATTTTAAGTTTTGTGGGCCATGAGGCTAAATTGAGGATATTATGTAGGTACTTATGCTACAAAACAGGAAACAAATTTTGACAAAAAAAATTTTAAGTAAAAAAATATAATAATTAAGGGACTCTCTCGCCTTCTGAGAGGGTCCACACTGTCTGTGGAGTGTGTTTCCCCCAAGGCCTCTCGCCTTCTGAGATGGCCCACACTCTTGTCTGTGGAGTGTTTCTCCCTAAATAAATCCATTTCTTACCTATCACTTTGTCTCTCACTGAATTCTTTCTGTGATGAGACATCAAGAACCTGAGCTTCATTAAGTCCTGAGGCCAGTCTTTGAGTTCTGCGGGAACTAAGGCCTGCACCCAGGTGGAGGATGGAATGATGATGTTGACCCACATGACTTCAATCAACTAAAGCTTGGACTCTATCAATCGTGGCCCCAATTCTATGCTGAATTCTCCTCTGCTCAAGCCCCTTCATGAATATGCATGTACCCTTAACTTAAAACTTCCCCAAGTTTGCTGTTTGGGGGAGACACTATTTTAGGAAAGATTCCCAGTGTTCTCCTTACTTGCTGCAAGTAATAAATCTTTCCTTTTCCCGAAAAAAAAAAAATGAAGTACAATTTTTAAAATAATAGAAGTCTACTAATGAGGAGAACAGAAACCTTTTTATTTTGCAGGGGGAAGAACTCCAATTAATTTTGATTAATTGGGGTTCAAAGTTCATGTTTCCTATCATCAAAATCAATTGCACATGTCCATCTGTTAATGCTGATCTGTAATGAGATTTTACATTTTATTGCAAAAGAACCACCTGTAATGAGATTTTGTATTTCATTTTTGATTATGTCTTTTCCAACAGGCAGTATATTAAAGCATATTATCACTGAATAATAAACACTATGCTTTGCCACCTAATTTGATAATAATCAACACTCCACTGTGCTTTAAGAGTGTGATATTAAAAGTCCATTTTTCTTTTCATGTTTGGACATGATGGTTAAATACTGATAATAAAAATATACTAAAATGTCATATGGCAAAATGTGTGGCACGGAAAACATTAACAAGTTATAATTGTGTCACTGTGATTTGTAGTATATCAAGCAGCAGTGAGAAATGATAAAGCTGCTTTATAAGGTCTCTGTCCCAATTACTCAACTGTGCTGTTATAGTGCAAAAGCCTTCACTGATGATATGTAAATGAACAAATGTGGCTCTGTTCCAATAAAACTTTATTTACAGACACCGAACTTTTAATTTCATGTAATTTTCACACCATGAAATATTACTCTTCTTTGACTTCTTTTTCTTCCATTAAAAAATGTAAAAATTATTTTGAGCTCATGGACTGTAAAAAAGGCAGTGGGCCATATTTGGGCCCGTGGGCCATAGCTTGCTGGCCCCTGAACTCCATGATCCAGATAATTATATTCTTACCTTCTGGCAAGCTGCCTCAACTTTTCAGCACATTCACTGTCTGACGTCTGGTTTATAAGTTCAAGGATGTTCATGGTTCTGTGAAAATGTCCACATGACAAACTCACACTAACAGCTGTTTCATGTTTATCTCCAGTAAGTACCCATACTTTGATACCAGCCATTCTCAATGCTTCAATAGTTTCTCGAACTTTATCTTGTAGTCTGAAAATAAAAGAAACAAAATTAGTAGTAGAGGACACTTTTTTGACTGTATTTAAAGTATGAACCACAAAGTAAAGTAAGGTAATTCCGAACTCCAACCTAGGGATGTTATAGTATAGTAATATAACTGACTTTTTTTTCCATTAGGGAAAAAATAGGAATAAACAAATTAGTGACCACCTGGCTAATATAAAATCTACAACTGTGTGCTAACACGTTTGTCACAATGGCAATTCCAGAGTTGTGAGGCACTTTAGGTGATATGACATAATGATACTGAATGATCGCCTGGGTCAATACTGCCTTAATGAGAACATTTGTGCATTCTCACAATTGTAAAGTTTCCTTCCCTTCATTTTGGTTACTGATAATACTACTGTAAATGTATTTGGTTTTCTGAAGCTCACAGGGTATTGATATATTGGAGCACTATGTAAACTTAAATGTAAAATCTACAACTTCATATTTTAAGAGTGTATCTTCAAAGTTGATTTTTATAGAACCAACTAACTATATAATCTTCATAAACTCATTTTCTTAGAAAGTCTTAAATTTCAAATTAGAAAATTTTCTCCTTTTTCGGCAAGAAAATCTCTTACCTCATTAGTTCAAAAATCAGACTGTGGACAATAATGGTCTATATATAACCTCAGGGAGTCTCATAAATCTCATGAGGACAACTGAAAAGTAAATGAAACCCTAGATTTTAAAAAATGCAATCACCTTTAGATCTAGGGGGTAGAGAAAAACATAACAATAGGCTTAATTTGTAGAATTCAATTTAATTCAAGAAACTGTGAAACACACATGGAGAGAGATGCTGGGAACAAAGGCAAAGAATAAGTAGACCTCAAGGAATTCACAGTCTAACAGAGGAGAAAGTCTTCAACAAATAATATACTGCCTACAAAACTACTACAACAGAACTACCTACAAAACATGGAGGCTTTCCAAACAAGAGAACTTTTAATACTATTAGGGGTTAGGAAAGGTCTTCCTGGAGTGGGGGTGATATATGAACTATGGTTTATGAATAGGTATACACAGATGGATAAGGGAAGAATGATCCAGGCAGGAAGCACAGCCTTGCCAACAAAAAAAGGCACAAAATAGAACACTTTTAACTACAGTTGTCGTCCAGTGAACTAGACAGTTTGGTACTGTTGAAATGTAAAGTGGAAGGGGGCAGTGGTAAGAGGTGAGGCTGGAGAATTAAGCAGGAGCTTAAAATCTTTGTATGGAACACTGAGGACTAGTCTAAAAACTCCAGACTACAGGCAAAACTATACACGGCTGGATTCTTTCAACTATTTCAGATAGCTGGCTAGAACAAAAATTATATATATGGACTGGGAAAAATTAAGGCTTTAATTCTCTATTTTGATTTTAAGTATATTAAGTATAAAATGTTAAAAAACAGAATTTGTCATAAATTAGAAACACTTGGCTAGAAAAATTCTTATGAGAGAAAAATGATATTGCCTATTTGTCTGATACTTACTTGTCTTCTACTGCTGTAGCTCCCAGTAATATCAGGTCTTTCTCTATGAACTGGAAGACATCTGCCAATTTCTCTTCCCGTTGCTGCAAGGCAGTCCTGGCTTCAAATAAATGTCTATCTATTTCCTCATACTCTTTAGGTGTAAACTCTCTATAGGCCATACACAGAGTTCTTAGCCCTTTCTAAAATAGGAAAATTAAAGACAAAAATTGAACAAAGATAACTAATGGGGAATTAAGAAGTCATTGAAATAAACTGAGGAACCCGTTACCAAAATTCAAGTATAAATAATTTAAAAAGTACTATCATCTAGTGATAGGAAATAAACTGTCACAAAACCCTAGTTATCTGAGTTACGGGACACATATTATCTATCATAGCTCTTGCAATTTTTGATGAGTTCTTAAACAGCTGCTCAAAAAAATTAAGGTCACTGAATTGTAGAACATTATAGAGCCTAGACAGGATCATAAAGACGATCTACCTGTGATTTTAAATATGTTTTACCAGGAAAGCCAAAAAGTTCTATAATGGTACCTTTAGGACTGTCAAGAGAGAAGCAGCCCCAGGTTCTTCTCTCCTGTTTTAACCACTACAACTCCACTTTTATCAATTTATTTTTTCAGACAATTTGTTTTAAGTCTTTATTGAATTTGTTACAATACGGCTTCTGTTTTATGTGTTTTTTTTGTTTTTTTTGGCCGCAAGGCATGTGGGATCTTCCCGAGCAGGGATTGAACCTGCATTGGAAGGTGAAGTCTTAACCACTGGACTGCCAGGGAAGTCCCCACTTTTATCTGCTTTAAAAGAAATTTTTTTTAAGCAAAGGGGACTATAATTTCCTGAGGGTTCATGATATGACAAATTCACATTTCAAATAAAGAAGCCTGTAAAGTGGTCATTATCAACCAAGCAATACTTTCTAGAGCCACTGAATGAATGATTTTAAATTGTATCATTATACCTTCATTGGTGAATTGGAATTTCACAAAACTTAGGAATATATATTTGATTATCTGATTCTACCAGGTGTAAACTTTTCTTATGGTGTTAATATTTGAAAGTTGGTATCTAAATCTGAAAGCTTACAAAAGTCCTTTTTCTTGCAAGACATTTTCCTCAGAAAAACCCAAAATAAATGTTCTAATAGTAGGACTCAGCAAGGGAGGGTTTTAAAATACTATATGACACTACTTAGCAGATTTCTAAATGTGGTCATTCCTTGATTTACAAATGACCTACACCTATAAACACCTGCTTCTCTTAAATAACATTTAAGAGACTATGAGAGTTACTAAATTAATTTGTTCCACAACAAACATTTATTGAGTGCCAACTACGTGCCAGCATTTTTCTGGATTAAAATGACAGAAAAGTAGAATAGAACTTCCCTGGTGGTGCAGTGGTTAAGAATCTGCCTGCCAATGCAGAGGACACGGGTTCGATCCCTGATCCAGGAAGATCCCACATCTTCCTGGGATGTTGCTTGCCACGGAGCAACTAAGCCCATGCACCACAACTACTGATCTCGCACTCCGCAGCTACTGAGACCACATGTTGCAACTACTGAAGCCTGCATGCCTAGAGCTGGTGCTCTGCAACAAGAGAAGCCACTGCAACGGGAAGCCCATGCACCGCAATGAAGAGTAGCACCCCCCGCTCGCTGCAACTAGAGAAAGCCCACACGCAGCAACAAGGAGCCACCGCAGTCCCCGCCTCCCCCCAAAAAGTAGAATAATGCCTTTGTTCTTATGGATATTATAGCGTGGTAGATGAACTAGACCATAAACAAATAGAAAGTAATGGGAGAAAAGAAACCATAAGTAAGTAAAGGAGGCAGGTGGGCAGCATTTATAGAAATGCAGAAGTAAGAGATCATGAGGCTCTAAGACTGAGACGAAGCTTCTTAATACGTTTCTTCTTCACATGAATTGTGGCACTTTGTTTTTGTAAGATTTTCCTATTCTTTTATTAAGAGGGACATAATTCACATACCATAATTCACTTCAGTGGTCTTTAGTGTACTCACAAAGTCGTGCAATTGTTATTACTATCTAATTCCAGAACATTTGTGTCACCCCCAAAAGGAATTCCATATTCATTAGCAGACACTTCCCTTTCCCCACTTTCTCCAGCTCCTGGCAACCACTAATATGCTTTCTGGCTCTATGACTTTGTCTTTTCTGGGTATTTCATATAAATGGAACATGTGGCCTTTTGGGACTAGCTTCTTTCACTTAGCAATCTTTTCAAAGTTCATCCATGATGTAGCATATATCAGTATTTCATTCCTTTTAATGGCCAAATAACATTTTGTTATATGGATATGACACATATCATATATGGATATGACACATCAGTTGATGGACATTTGGGAGTTTCCATTTTTTTGGCTATTAGGAATAAAGCTGCTAAGTACAAGTTTCTGTGTAGACGTATGTTTTCAGTTCTCTTGGATGTATACCTAGGAGTGAAATTACCAAGTCATATAGTAACTCTATATTACTCTATGTTCTATGAGGAATTGTAAAACTATTTTTGGAAGTGGCCATATCATTTATATTCCCATCAGCAATGTATCAGGGTTCCAGTTTCTACACATACTTGGGATTTCTGTACGTCTCTTTTTTTTTTTTTGGTGGGGGGGCCATGCTGCACAGCATGAAGGATCTTAATCCCCCGACCAGGGATGGAACCCATGCCCCCTGCAATGGAAGCATGGAGTCTTAACCACTGGACTGCCAGGGAAGTCCCTCGCTTTTTAATATAGCAATCTGAGTGGTCCTTGTAGCCATAAGTACTCTGGCTGTACTAGGTGTACTAGGTGCAAAGAGGCCTGCTAAAATATAGCAGGTTAAAAAAGGTCAAATTTTAACCAACGAATGAGGAGCCAACATATAATGTAACAGAACTGCAGAATTTCTATAATTTTTGATAAAATACTAATGCAAAAATGAAACCCCAAATCTTTCATATATATATATTTTTTTAGCGGTTTTTAAATTAGAGAAATTTGCACTTACCAAAGCAAATTCATCTACATGAATTCTTGTTTTTTCTATTTCTCCACCTATACATTCCGGGAGAATTGATGATTCGGCTCCTTTAACAAATAAAAGTTTCTCACCTAAAAAGAAAAATGAGTCATCAAGTTCTTAGTATTATGTAACTAAAAATTCATGAACATTTAAATTGGTTACCTGAAGGTGCCTGAACAATTACACTCATTCTTCTACGATCTGAATCAAATTCCAGAATATGAAGCAGTTTGTACCTAAGGAAGAAAAAATAAGAAAGACAAAATCTGTACTTTTTTGAATAATATTAAGTGAATATTTGGAAAGAATCCCTATAAAAGATAAAATGGTTCATTTAGAACAAGAAATTAATCTCAATTACATTTTTCAAGATGATGGATTATGAGTCATTAATAACACAAGATAGAAAAAGACGGAACTGACATTTATTAAGTACTTACCAAATGCCACGTACTTTACATACCTTATATCATTTAATACCCATGAGAACCAAAGGAGGTAGGTCTTATCTCATTTTACAGGTGAGGACTATTAAACTCAGAAAGATACACTCATTTGCCTTAAGTCAAATAAGCATGTGAATGGCATAGCAAGGAATGCAATACATAGCTGCCCAGCTTCATGTTTTTCCTCACTAAAAAAGGTGACTGATTCTCAACTCTTTTTTCTGCCTAAACACACCTGAGAAATACGAACACTCACATTAGTAACAGAGACTCACTACAGCAGTGATTCTGAACCTATGACAGGGCATGTCTGTGCAGTTGGGGGACACAAAGGTCTCTCTAGGGAGCTGTAAAAGAATTTGTGTGGATGGGTCAGGTGTGGATTGAAAAGTCTTCTAGATGAATTTATACAATGATGTACATATGGAATGTTTTGGCACATCTCAAAGAAAAACACTGAGTAGAATGGTTTATAAGTTGATAAAATGAGCTAGACAGGCTCCCAGATAAAAGTAGCCAAAGACTGGGCACTATTTAGTTCAGAAAAGCATAGTCTGGAAAAGCACAAGTGGAGCTGAGATATGATCAGAAATGATAAAACCACGAAAGATATGAATGTGATAAGAATGGACTAATTTATCAAACAGAGGAAATACTGGAAATAATACAACAGTTCCTTAATGTTTGAAAGATAAAAATCATAGGAAAGATAAGGAAGTTTTTATTTAGTGAGTAGAAATTTACAAAACTCATTATCCTAAGAATGTGTAAAAATAAACACATAAGTAAATTCAAGAACCATTAAGCTAAAATACAGATGAAAGTTTTAGAGCATTATACTGTTACTACCATGATGAGATACAATGTAATACTGACATCATTCTAGAGCAGGTGTCAGTAAACTTTTCCTGTAAGGGGCCAGATAGTAAATACTTTAGGCTTTGAAGACCATATATGATCTCTGCTGCATATTTTTTTGCTTTGGAAAACACTTTAAAAATGTAATTTAGTTTGCAGGCTGTACAGAAACAGTCTGTAGGCCAGATCTGCTTTCTGGGTCACAGTTTACCAATTCCTGTTCTATAGTAAACACTTAATATACAGAAAATTACAATATAGAAAAAAATTACCGTTCCAGTTTTCCAAGTGTTTTAACTTCCATAGTTTCTCCAGAATTGCCAATAAATACAATGCCGAATCTAGGGAATAAAAGGAGAAAGAAATATAAGATTTAAAGGATGATATTTTATAATTCACAATATAACTAACTTGAATAAAATCATTTAAAATATAAGTTTAAGATGTATTTTAAAGTTATTTCCTTTGAGTATAGGATTATTTTTAAGAACTTGAAGGATGAGAGTAGATCCAAAACAATACATACACAAGTATTTCTCACAAATTATATTGTTTATATTTCACAGTAACCAGACTTTTAAAGAGATCTCTTCAAAATATGACTTAATGCAAGCTTGACAACAAAATTAATGACATTTCAAATTCTCATTTAAAATACTTTTATGTGTAAATATACATATAAATAAAATACCTTTATGTGTAAAAAAATGTAAAAATAAAATACCTTTATGTTTCTGAATTTTGTCTGAGAATTTAAAATTATGTTCTTGTATTTTCACATTTTCATTTAAAAGGTATTTTTCTGAAGATTTGAAAATTAAACTTAAACTACCTTGCAGCAGCTTCCACGAGAGCCTTTTCATCTGGTGAAGATGCATAGTACTCCAACTGGGAGGGTGCAAGGTTGGTTTGCCAGGGACCATCACCAATTCCATCAGTCTGAACACTGCTAATCTGCACAGTGTGACAGAGACTGACTGCTTTAAAGAAGAGATCATGTTCTTTAATCTGTAGAAACATAATTAATATTCATAATAAAATATACCAATGCCAAATAACATATAGGAACATGTAGGAAACCAGAAACAAAATTCTAAAAAATGCCAATACAGCTCACAATTTGATAAACTAAGATGTAGAACAAGAGTGCTACAATTCTGAATTGCATAAATAATAGTTGGTTGCTTCTGAATCCCAAGACTAAAATGTCACATTTGCTTATGACCCTTCAACATCTGAGTATATTTTTAGGAGGCAAAACCAAATTGCAAGCAAAGGTGAAAACTCTTTTGTGGAAGAACTGAGATCTCAAAAGCTCTATTAAGCTCTATTCCTTAGCAAAGTCTTTATTTCAAGGCAGAAAGGGCTTTCTTTAACTTAGTCCCATTTAAATACCCAGAGAACTAAAGTAGATGCATATATATATATATATATATATTTCTTTTTTTTTTTTTTCGGTACATGGGCCTCTCACTGTTGTGGCCTCTCCCTTTGCGGAGCATAGGCTCCAGACGCGCAGGCTCAGTGGCCATGGTTCACAGGCCCAGCCGCTCCGCAGCATGTGGGATCTTCCTGGACCGGGGCACGAACCCACAGCCCCTGCATCGGCAGGCGGACTCTCAACCACTGCGCCACCAGGGAAGCCCTATATATATATATTTTTAGTGGAACATTTTATTTATTTATTTATTTATTTATTTTTAATAGATCTTTATTGGAGTATAATTGCTTCACAATACTGTTACTTTCTGTTGCACAAAAAAGCAAATCAGCCATACGAATACACATGTCCCCATATCCCCTTCCTCTTAAGCCTCCCTCCCTAAAGTAGATGCATATTAAGCGACAAGTTAAGCTGGCTTATGACTATAAATTTTCAGTGCTGAATCAAAGGATAAACATTTCAAAAGTATATTCCTTGCCCCACTAACACTTAAACTTTTTCTCCTACAACCCCCCAACTAACAAAGAATTACTATTTCAAATGAAACTCCTATTTATTAACTTAAAAATTGCTTACTAGTTCAGTTTCATTTTCAGGACTGGTTCTAAAAGAGGAACTGGTTGCAAGATGGGATAAGTTGTTAAGATGGGATAAACTACTAAGATAAGATAAGTTTCCTTCTGAAGAGTCTGGTGTTGGTCCTTCAGATACAAGTCTACCACTGATTTCTTGGTATTTTATACCATTAATTGAACATTCCCGAAACTGCATCTCATTTTCGGTCAGTGTACCAGTTTTGTCTGTAAACACATACTCCACCTAGAGATAGAAAACAAAAGAAAACAAATCTTTATGTTCAGGGTATTATGTTAAACAAAAAAACTTTGTACTCTGGCTCCTGAAGTTGTTTACCTATTAACATTGATATACTCATGTTAAGAGTCTTACTTATAATCTGAGCACAAGCAAATAATTAAAGATGCCACAGAAACAAAATAGGGTAATACAAAATATTTAAAATCTATATACTCTTTGAAGTCTGTGGCATCTCTAGGTTCATGTTCATCTATAGAGTTGACATAATTTCTGTTGAACAAGCAGGAGAAATACGAACTGCAGTTATTCTCTCTGGGTAAACTGAGGAAAAGCCCATACTGATATTTGGGGATACCCCCCAAAAACAGCTGGGCTGCCAGGCTTTTCTAGGGAAAACTTTTGGACTTGTAAAGAAAACCAAAGATTAGCATTCATTTGAGGATATTCCCTTACATGAAAAGGTAAAGAGAGTCTAAAACAAATGACAGGCAGTTCCACAAAAACATCGTCTTGAAAACACAAGAACTTATTACAATGAGACTGATATATAAGGGAACAATTTGAGCATAATATGAACTTTGCATTTGATTATGAACAGTTTCATCTGTGAGAAACACTAGGTGAACACAGAAAACTGCACCCAGCATACATGAAATATACAAACCTCAAGCAGCTAGCAGCTACCTCAGGTCCGCATGTGTGTTATGAGCCATAACCATTCACATCTGGTATCATACTTTCCTTCTGTTTTCAGATAGCCTACGTTCCAATACTTCACAATAACACACAAGTTGCAATTCTTCTGATGGCCACTTCCACAAGTAAACTTCAGGTCATTTTCAAGATAAAGTGCCATATTTATTGTAGTATTTATGTATTTCTTAATAATTTAGCAAGTCCTGTTTTTTTTTTGGTTTTTTTTTTTTTTTTTTTTTTTTTTTTTTTTTGCAGTAAGCAGGCCTCTCACCACTGTGGCCTCTCCCATTACGGAACACAGGCTCCAGACGCGCAGGCTCAGCGGCCGTGGCTCATAGGCCCAGCCGCTCCACAGCATGTGGGATCCTCCCGGACCGGGGCATGAACCCGCGCCCCTGCATCGGCAGGCGGACCCCCAACCACTGCGCCACCAGGGAAGCCCTTATTTTTTTATTTTAAATGTGTTACTGACAAAGTTTTTGTTGTATCCCAATCCCATTTTCCCAAAAGCCCCCAACCCCATTTTCCCAAAAGCCCTTTTTTTTTTTTTTGTTTTTTTTTTTTGCGGTATGCGGGCCTCTCACCATTGTGGCCTCTCACATTGTGGAGCACAGGCTTCCAGATGCGCAGGCTAAGCAGCCGTGGCTCACAGGCCCAGCTGCTCTGTGACATGTGGGATCTTCCCGGACCGGGGCACGATCCCATGTCCCCAGCATCGGCAGGAGGACTCCCAACCACTGCGCCACCAGGGAAGCCCAGCCCTGTAGTTTTTACTAAGTAATTTTGCATAGCACAGTGATTTTAGGAATGCATATGTCACATTACAGCAGAACTGATGTACTGAGAAAGGAACTAGGAAAAAACTGAGAAAATGCAACTAGCAGAAGGCTTTAAAGAAACTGTCATTAATATCCTCAAAGAGGTGAAAGAACAGATTATATTCAAGAAACAAGAATAATATGTAATTAAAAGACGACCATTCTGGGAATTCCCTGGCTGTCGTTAGGACTCTGCGCTTCCACTGCGGGGACATGGGTTCGATCCCTGGTAGGGGAACTGAGATCCCGCAAGCTGTGTGGCCAAAAAAAAAGACCATTCAGATATACTAGGATATCAGAAATTAAAAACATTACAATACAAATAAAAGAAATCAAAAGATAGGTGGAACCAGAGGGCAGACAGCAGAAGCAAGAAGAACTACAATCCTGCAGCCTGTGGGAAAAAAACCACATTCACAGAAAGACAGACAAGATGAAAAGGCAGAGGGCTATATACCAGATGAAGGAACAAGATAAAATCCCAGAAAAACTACTAAGAAGTAGAGATAGGCAACCTTTCAAAAAAAAAAATCAGAATAATGATAGTGAAGATGATCCAGGACCTCAGAAAAAGAATGGAGGCAAAGATAGAGAAGATGCAAGAAATATTTAACAAAGACCTAGGAGAATTAAAGAACAAACAAACAGAGATGAACAATACAATAACTGACGTGAAAACTAAACTAGAAGGAATCAATAGCAGAATAACTGAGGCAGAAGAACGGATAAGTGACCTGGAAGACAGAATGGTGGAATTCACTGCTGTGGAACAGACTAAAGAAAAAAGAATGAAAAGAAATGAAGACAGCCTAAGAGACCTCTGGGACAACATTAAACACAACAACATTCGCATTATAGGGGTTCCAGAAGGAGAAGAGAGAGAGAAAGAACCAGAGAAAATATCTGAAGAGATTATATTCGAAAACTTCCGTAACATGGGAAAGGAAATAGCCACCCGAGTCCAGGAAGCACAGCGAGTCCCATACAGGATAAACCCAAGAGGAAACACACCGAGGCACATAGTAATCAAATTGGCAAAAATTAAGTACAAAGAAAAATTATTGAAAGCAGCTAGGGAAAAATGACAACATACGAGGGAACTCCCATAAGGTTAACAGCTGATTTCTCAGCAGAAACTCTACAAGGCAGAAGGGAGTGGCATGATCTGCTTAAAGTGATGAAAGGGAAGAACCTACAGCCAAGATTACACAGCAAGGATCTCATTCAGATTTGATGGAGAAATCAAAAGCTTTACAAATAAGCAAAAGCTAAGACAATTCAGCACCACCAAACCACCTCTACAACAAATGCTAAAGGAGCTTCTCTAAGTGGGAAACAAAAGAGAAAAAAAGGACCTACAAAAACAAACCCAAAACAATTCAGAAAATGGTCAGAGGAACATACATATCAATAATTACCTTAAACGTGAATGGATTCAATGCTCCAACCAAAAGACACAGGCTTGCTGAATGGATACAAAAACAAGACCCGTATATATGCCTGTCTACAAGAGACGCACTTCAGACCTAGGGACACATACAGACTGAAACTGAGGGGATGTAAAAAGATATTCCACGCCAATGGAAACCAAAAGAAAGCTGGTGTAGCAATACTCATATCAGATAAAACAGACTTTAAAATAAAGAATGTTACAAGAGACAAGGATGGACACTACATAATGATCAAGGTATCGATCCAAGAAGAAGATATAACAATTATAAATATATATGCACCCAACATAGGAGCACCTCAATACATAAGGCAACTGCTAACAGCTATAAAAGAGGAAATCGATAGCAACACAATAATAGTGGGGGACTTTAACACCTCACTTACACCAATGGGCAGATGATCCAAAATGAAAATAAATAAGGAAACAGAAGCTTTAAATGACACAAAAGACCAGATAGCATTAACTGATATTTATAGGACATTCCATCCAAAAACAGCAGATTACACTTTCTTCTCAAGTGCGCACGAACATTCTCCAGGATAGATCACATACTGGGTCACAAATCAAGCCTAAGTAAATTTAAGAAAATTGAAATCATATCAAGCATCTTTTCTGACCACAACACTATGAGATTAGAAATGAATTACAGGGGAAAAAAAAGTAAAAAACACAAACACATTGAATTGAGGCTAAACAATATGTTACTAAATAGCCAAGAGATCACTGAAGAAATGAAAGGAAATCAAAAAATACCTACAAATGACAATGAAAACACGATGATCCAAAACCTATGGGATGCAGCAAAATTAGTTCTAAGAGGGAAGTTTATAGCTATAAAAGTCAACCTCAAGAAACCAGAAAAATCTCAAGTAAACAATCTAACCTTACACCCAAAGGAACTAGAGAAAGAACAAACAAAACCCAGAGTTAGCAGAAGGAAAGAAATCATAAAAATCAGAGCAGAAATAAATGAAATAGAAACAAAGAAAACAATAGCAACGATCCAATAAAACTAAAAGCTGGTTCTTTGAGAAGATAAACAAAATCGATAAACCATTAGCCAGACTCATCAAGAAAAAGAGGGAGAGGACTCAAATCAATAAAATTAGAAATGAAAAAGGAGAAGTTACAACAGACACCGCAGAAATACAAAGCACCCTAAGAGACTACTACAAGCAACTCTATGCCAATAAAATGGACAACCTGGAAGAAAAGAACAAATTCTTAGAAAGGTATAACCTTCCAAGACTGAACCAGGAAGAAACAAAAAATATGAACAGACCAATCACAAGTAATGAAATAGAAACTGTGATTAAAAATCTTCCAACATGGGCTTCCCTGATGGCAGAGTGGTTGAGAGTCCACCTGCTGATGCAGGGGATAAGGGTTCGTGCCCCGATCTGGGAAGATCCCATGCCGCAGAGCGGCTGGGCCCGTGAGCTATGGCCGCTGAGCCTGCGCGTTTGGAGCCTGTGCTCTGCAATGGGAGAGGCCACAACAGTGAGAGGCCCACGTACCGAAGGAAAAAAAAAAAAAAAAAACTTCCAACAAACCAAAGTCCAGGACCAGATGCCTTCGCAAGTGAATTCTATCAAACGTTTAGAGAAGAGTTAACATCCATCCTTCTCATACTCTTCCAAAAAACTGCAGAGGAAGGAGCACTCCCAAACTCATTCTACGAGGCCACCATCACCCTGATACTAAAACCAAAGATACTACAAAAAAAGAAAATTACAGACCAATATCACTGATGAATATAGATGCAAAAATCCTCAACAAAATACCAGCAGACAGAATCCAACAACACATTAAAAGGATCATACACCACGATCACGTGGGATTTATCCCAGGGATGCAAGGATTCTTCATTATATGCAAATCAATCAATGGGATACCCCATATTAACAAACTGAAGAATAAAAACCATATGATCATCTCAGTAGATGCAGAAAAAGCTTTTGACAAAATTCAACACCCATTTATGATAAAAACTCTCCCGAAAGTGGGCATAGAGGGAACCTACCTCAACATAATAAAGGCCATATATGACAAACCCACAGCAAACATCATTCTCAATGGTGAGAAACCGAAAGCATTTCCTCTACGAGACAAGGATGTCCATTCTCACCACTATTATTCAACATAGTTTTGGAAGTCCTAACCATGATAATCAGAGAAGAAAAAGAAATAAAAGGAATACAAATTGGAAAAGAAGTAAAACTGTCACTGTCTGCAGATGACATGATACTATACATACAGAATCCTAAAAATGCCACCAGAAAACTACTAGAGCTAATCAATAAATTTGGTAAAGTTGCAGGATACAAATTAATGCACAGAAATCTCTTGTACTCGTATACACTAATGATGAGAAATTATGGAAACACCCCCATTTACCACTGCAACAAAAAGAATAAAATACATAGGAATAAACCTACCTAGGGAGACAAAACACCTGTATACAGAAAACTGTAAGACACTGATGAAAGAAATTAAAGATGATACCAACAGATGGAGAGATACAGCATGTTCTTGGATTGGAAGAATCAATAGTGAAAATGATTATACTACCCAAAGCAATCTACAGATTCAATGCAATCCCTATCAAATTACCAACGGCACTTTTTACAGGACTAGAACAAATCATCTTAAAATTTGTATCGAGACACAAAAGACCCCGAATAGCCAAAGCAGTCTTGAGGGAAAAAAACGGAGCTGGAGGAATCAGACTCCCTGACCTCAGACTATACTACAAAGCTACAGTAATCAAGACAATATCATACTGGCACAAAAGCAGAAATACAGATCAATGGAACAGGATAGGAAGCCCAGAGATAAACCCATGCAACTATGGTCAACTAATCTATGATAAAGGAGGCAAAGATATACGATGGAGAAAAGACAGTCTCTTCAGTAAGTGGTGCTGCGAAAACTGGACAGCTACATGTAAAAGAACGAAATTAGAACACTCCCTAACACCATACACAAAAATAAACTCAAAACGGATTCGAGACGTAAATGTAAGACCCGACGCTATAAAACTCTTATTGGAAGACATAGGAAGAACACTCCTTCACATAAATCACAGCAACATCTTTTTTGATCCACCTCCTAGAGTAATGGAAATAAAAACAAAAATAAACAAATGGGACCTAATGAAACTTCAAAGCTTTTGCACAGCAAAGGAAACCATACACAAGACCAAAAGACAACCCTCAGAATGGGAGAAAATATTTGCAAACGAATCAACGGACAAAGGATTAATCCCCAAAATATATAAACAGCTCATGCAGTTCAATATTAAAGAAACAAACAACCCAATCCAAAAATGGGCAGAAGACCTAAATAGACATTTCTCCAAAGAAGACATACAGATGGCCAAGAAGCACATGAAAAGCTGCCCAACATCACTAATTATTAGAGAAATGCAAATCAAAACTACAATGAGGTATCACCTCACACCAGTCAGAATGGGCATCAGCAGAAAATCTACAAACAACAAATGCTGGCGAGGGTGTGGAGAAAAGGGAACCCTCTTGCACTGTTGGTGGGAATGTAAATTGATACAGCCACTATGGAGAATAGTATGGAGGTTCCTTAAAAAAGTAAAAATAGATTTACCATATGATCCAGCAATCCCACTACTGGGTATATACCCAGAGAAAACCATAATTCAAAAAGACACATGCATCCCAATGTTCACTGCAGCACTATTTACAATAGCCAGGTCATGGAAGCAACCTAAATGCCCATCAACAGATGAATGAATAAAGATGTGGTACATATATACAATGGAATATTACTGAGCCATAAGAAGTAACGAAATTGAGTCATTTGTTGAGTCGTGGAAGGATCTAGAAAGTGTCATACAGCGTGAAGTTAAGTCAGAAAGAGAAAAACAAAGATCGTATATTAATGCATGTATGTGGAACCTAGAAGAATGGTACAGATGAGCCAGTTTGCAGGGCAGAAGTTGAGACACAGATGTAGAGAACAGACATATGGACACCAAGGGAGGAAAACCACCATGGGGGATGGTGGGGATGGTGTTGTGCTGAATTGGGCGATTGGGATTGACATGTATACACTGATGTGTATAAAATTGATGACTAATAAGAACCGGCAGTACAAAAAAACAAACAAAGCAAAAAAAAAAGATAGGTGGAAAGATAAAGTTCATGAATTCTCCCAGGAAGATTATAAAAACAGAGAAATTAAAATTGAAAGTCAAAGAAATCACAGAGTCAAGATAAATGATCTGACATCCAAAATAATAAATTTCAAAAGAAAATCCCATAAAACATAAAAAGACACTTTACCAAAGAAATAATATAAGAAAAATTCCTAGAACTGAAGGACTTGTGTTTCCAGGCAAAAAGGGCTCACAGAGTTTATTGCCCAATGAAAGAAAAAAAAAAAAGACTCACACCAAGGTATATCATCATAAAATTTCAGATTCATTGAATAAAGGGAAGATCCCAAAACACTAAACACTTCCAGAGATAAAACAACAGATCACACATAAAGAACTGAGAATCAGAATGGCATTGGATTTCTCAAAAAAACACTGGAAGCTAGAAATAAATGAAGAAATGCTTTTGAAATTTTGAGGAAAAATAATTTCCAACCTGGGATGTGTTACCCAGATAAATTATTTTTTAAAAGATTTATTATTTATTTATTTTATTAATATTTTATATTTTTTTGGCTGTGTTGGGTCTTATCTGCAGCACATGGGATCCTCGTTGAGGCATGCGGGATCTTTCATTACGGTGCGCAGGCTCCTCGTTGGGGTGCGCGGGCTCCTCACTGGAGTGTGCGAGCTCAGTAGTTGCTGCACGCGGGATCTTAGTTGCCCTGCGGGATCTTAGTTGCCCTGCGGCATGTGGGATCTTAGTTCCCTGACCAGGGATCAAAGCCGCGTCCCCTGCACTGCAAGGCAGATCCCTTACCACTGGACCACCAGTGAAGTCCCTACCCAGGTAAATTACTAATCAAGTGTAAGAAGGGAATAAAGATATTTTCAGATGTGTGAAGTTTCAAAGTATTTCCCTGTTATGCATCCTTTTTCAAGAAGTTATTAGGAGATGTGTTCCACCAAAATAAGAGAATAATCAACAGGTGGGAAGACATGGGATCCAGAAGACAGGAAATCCAAAATGGGTGGGAGACAAAGGAAGTTCTAGGGTGATGGAAAAGCAAGTCCACAATGACAGCAGAGAAGCAGGCCCAGAAAGAAGTCCAAATTGAAGCAGAAAAATAAAAGGCTTCAAAACTGAAAGTGAGCGAGATAACAAGAAAGAGAAAGGAAATCCTAGATTACCTGGTGTGTTTGAATATGTGGAGATGGTTCATATACTTGTCAGAGATTTGTTTGTGGTAAATGAAAATTAAGCAAATAGAGCAATTAACTCCAGCAAAACCAAAATACATAAGAAAGAAAAATGTAAGTATAGTATTACAGAGCAGAGAGAACAAGGAATTAGTAAATAATACCAAAACAGTCCTAATAATGTAAATGAATATTTATTAAATCCCAAATTGTGATTTAACAATACTGGGGTGTCACGGGGAGGCAAAGTTGGTATATGTCTGGGTATGCGTGTGGAAGGAGTAGTGTAGTATTATATGTTTAGATTCCATAGTAAATAATGTCTCAAATTTAAAAATCAAGAAAGAATACTATATAGAAATACAGTGCTAAATAATGAAAAAAACAGCTTAAGATTTCAAAATGGGAAACAAGAAATTAGGTGTGGAGCAAAGAAAGTGGGGCTGTTTTTTGGTATAAGCCTTGTAATATTTAGTTTTATTAGTCTTTGTACACTTATTATTTTGATAAAAATAACAAATTAGAAAAAAAACGGATCATTTTTACCTGTCCAAGTTCTTCATTCAGATCAGAAGTATTGACTTGAGCTTTCTGATCTGATTCTTCATGATAGAGATCAAGATCCCAGCCAATAAAAAATGATCCAAGAAATTTCTGCATTTCAACTGTCACATATAATGAAATTGGAATGATGAAATTGTAGAGTACCAAAAAAGCAAGGAAGTCTGAAATAAATTTCAGAATCTAGGGGAAAAAAATGATTGCTTGATAAGACAAAAATATGAAGGAAATTATCAGATAGTTTCATATCTCAACAGACCATCAACTATATTCTGAAGCAGAAAAGTCTCATGAAATGAAATTCATTTACTGAATTGTCTTTTTAACACATTTCCTTTCGTTATTTTAATCCTCAATAGAATCTTGAACAAATTAAAAGAAGAAAGGTTAAAACCAAATTACTTAATTTGTTACTTTTTAGAAGCTACCAGAAAAGCCTGGTGTGACTGAAATTACTTATGACAAAATTATAATTAGAACCTCTGTAGCATACTTACCATTCTATTTCTACACATCAAAATCACAGATAACTAAAAATTGACTGTAATTTAAAAAATGTAAAATAACTGCTAGGCTAGAACTGCTAGAAATTAAAACTCTCAATTACAGATTACACAGGAATAGCCTACTTCAATGGCATAGCAGTTCCACATTTTAAAATGTGTTCTGTAAAAGATAAAATACCTAATTGTAAATGATACTGAAAATATGTTCCTGTGATTATCTGCTTTTTGGTCTCTTGACATTCAAACTTATCTTCCAATATTTGCACTTTAATCTAAAGTGAAATTTGGAGAACAATTTACCAAAACTGCAGGTTAACTTCTCCTGGTAGTCCATATTTAATCAGTTTAAAACTTTTTATGACGTAATTCGTATTTACTTCATACCACCAATATACTGACAGTAAGACCCTTGAATTATTCTGATAGAATTGAAAATTCTATTTACATACAGTAAGTAGAATAAAAATTTCAATTTGTATTACTGAAGTGGAATGCGAATACAGATGACTTAAATGTCTGTGATCTCTTTTAATTATTCAAGTTATGCCATAGGGAATATAACTGCTTATGCTGTAAAATGTAAAAAGCATACCAGTACAAACATGCTGGCTACTCTTCACGTGCAATATCCTTTTGTCACCCTTCAATAGTGATAGTTTTAGGGATGACAGTGGTCACTCCTATCAGAAGTCACTACCAAAGCATTAAAAGAAATAAAATTTCCAAAGAATAAAATTTTCTTTGTAACAGTCAAGAACACCATGAAGTACCTTACTACTATTTCTTTGATGTTCTGTTTTTTGGTTATACCAAGGTTCATCCCATTTTTCTTCAGCTTGCCATGTATATTTCAAGATAGTACTGATGATGGCTTCAGAAATAAGGATTATTAGATAAATTATCAAAAAGGTATTCATTGACCTGAAATGAAGAAAGAGAATATAAAATGTATCAATTATATGTTACTATACTCATTTGTTTGGAAATTAACATTGGTATTAAATAAGATACTAAATATCAATATATAAGATATAACGGTAGCTATTTAAAGGACACAGTCTTTGTTTTTAAGAAATGACCATTCAATTCAGTCCATTTACTAGCAATAAAAGAACAGATACATAAGATTACAAGCATATTTACTATAGTTAACTACTGTTCAAAATGCTTATAGTGGGCTCCCTGGTCAGGGAGCTAAGAACACACACACAGTCCCTGGTTGGGACGCTAAGATCCCACATGCCTTAAAAAAACCAAAAACATAAAACAGAAGCAACATTGTAACAAATTCAATAAAGACTTTCAAAAATGGTCCACATCAAAAAAATAAATAAAAATTAAAAAAATTAAAAAACAAAACAAAATGAAAACAGACTCATAGATACAAATAGGTGGTTGCTTGCTGGTATTGGGGGGATGGGTAAAATAGGTGAAAGGGATTAAGAGGTATAAACCTTGGGTTATAAAATAAGTAAGCCATGAGAATGTAATATACAGCATAAGGAATATGGTCAATAATATTGCAATAACTTTGTATGGGGCCAGACAATTACTAGACTTACTGTGGTCAACATTTCATAATGTATGCAAATGTCAAATCACTATGTACTACACCTGAAACTAACATAATATTTTATGTCAACTATATTTCAATAAATTAAAATTAAATAAATAAAAAATGAGAAACCATCCCTATCTTCAAGGATACCATCGTTTGTTCACTTGAAATATATATTTTTATATACATATTTTATACATATAGAATAATATACATACCAATAGTCATATTGGGACTTCCATGGTGGCTCAGTGGTTAAGACTCTGTGCTCCCAATGCAGGGGGCCTGGGTTTGATCCCTGGTCAGGGAACTAGATCCCACATGCATGCCACAACTAAGAGTTCACATGTTGCAACTAAGGAGCCCTCAAGTGACAACTAAGGACCCTGCCTGCTTCAACTAAGACCCAGTGCAAGCAGATAAATTAATTTTTAAAAAGTCATATTTATGTGTAAATAAATGAAAATAGTTTTCTTACTTTTCTACTGCAGATCGTTTCTGTGATTTGCTCTTGTAATTTAATGCCATCTTAGTTTCCATTCCAGTATACACAGCAACACCTGCAAAACAAAACAGTCTTAAGATAATCCTCTACCATGTTTCACAAAAGAAATGTACTCACTAGCACGAAAGAAAATCTAAGAAACTGTATCATCTGAGAGTTGTCAGAATTTGGCTTTCCTTTAAGTCTTTCTGGAGTTTTTTTTAAAAGGCTTTCCAAGTGCAATTTTGGGAAATTCCAGTCATTCAACCTGCTGAATGAGGAAGGCATGTGGGTTCTGTTCCTGAATTATAACTGGGATATCTGAATGAAAGAGGTATTATTTGAGTTGGAATTGATGGAGGAAAGGATACGGAAAGATAAAGAAGGCAGGGAAGGCCATTATAGATACAGCAAACAGTGTTAACAAAGACAGAAATAGAAAAGCGCTTTCTGTTAGGCTGTAACAATGGATTGGTGTCAGTTTGAAAGACCTTGAAAGCCAGAATCTGGAGTCTAGACATAATCTCATAAGCACTGGAAAGATAATATGGAATCTGTCAGAGTAAATGAAATAAACACAAGGAAAGTGCTATTTTAAAAATATGTGCCTATGTGAATGACTGAGATGAGAATGACAGTAATAAGGGGACTAAAACTGGGGTAAGACCAATCTTATTAAAAAACTTTGGAGTTAGAGCTTGGTTTGAAGGTTAGCTCTGCCACTTATTAGTTCTGTGACCTTGAGTAAGTTATCTAATCTTTCTGAGTCTCAATTTCCCCATCTTTAAATGGGAAAAATACCTAATAAAACTGGTATGAGAGTTGTGTGACAGATTAGCAAAATGCCTAGAAACAGAAAGACGATGAATAACTGGAATTTTCACTGTTGGAATTATCCTTCCAAGGCAGGGATTACAACTCAAATGATAAAGGGCACCAAAATTATAGAAATGTGAGAAATGAGATAAAATGGTACAACACAGAGAGGTGGTGCTGAGGAAAACAATAGCAGACCCATTTAAAGGCGTTCAAATACACATTTCCTAAATTTTAAGAGTGGGAAAGGTGTTACTGCTAGAGAGGTGTTAAAATACAGCATTACAGGAGAGGGCCTAAAAGCCCTGGAGATTTCTCTGGCTTTTGCCATTAAAACTTTACTATGGTCCCCTTTTTAAAATTGTGGTAAAATACACATAACACACAGTTTGCCTTTTTAATACAATTCAGTGGCACTTAGTTACGTTCACAATGTTGTGCAACCATCCTATCTAAGTTGAGACTATTTCATCACCCGCCCCCTGCCAAAAAAACCCTGTACCCATTAAACAATCATTCCCAATTCCCCTCCACTCCCCAGATGCTGGGAACCACTAATCTACTTTCTGTCTCTATGAATTTGCCTATTTTGGGTATTTTAAGTATAAATGAAATCATATAATATGTGGCCTTTTTGTGTTTGACTTCGTTCACTCAGCATAATGTTTTCAAAGTTTATGTATGTTGTAGCATGTATCAGTACTTCATTTCTTATGGATGAATAATATTCCATTACTTGGATATCCTACACTTTGTTTATCCATTCATTAGTTGATAGACATTTGGGCAGTTTCTACCCATTGGCTATTGTGAACAGTGCTGCTATGAACATTCTCATACAAGCCTTTGTTTGAGCACCTGTCTTCAATTCTTTAGGGTATATAGCTAGAAGCAGAATTGCTGAGTGATACGGTAATTCTATGTTTAACTTACTGAGGAATTGCCAAACTACTTTCCACAGCAGCTGCAACATTCTACACTCCCACCAGCAATGTATGAGGGTTCCAGTTTCTCCACATTTTTGCCATACTACTTATATTCCTTTTTAAAAAATATATGGAATTATTTATCAGAGAGCCTAATACTGAGAGATAAGATACAGTACAGTTAACAGGAAAGAAGAGACTGAGGAAGAAGAGCTCAAAAGCTCAAAGTAAGTATTCAGTGAATAACACAATCTGGCCAGAATATGACAGGCCATTCCTGAAAGGCGAGGAGCCAGTTGACAGCTACAGGTTATCACTGACTTCACAATTTACCTAGAGTTGACTCAGAGCATAGTGAATTAGTTTAGCTCGACAATGCAAGAGCACTATTTATTCATCCTTTTGATCCAGTCAGTGTATGTTCCAACAGTATCTGTTATATAGTCACAGATCAATAAGAATTCATTGAATGAATAAACGGATGAACAAATGAGTCAGCAGTTTTAACAAGCCAATCTAAGAATCATCATAATGGAAATTTATACAAGTGGTTTACTGCACCAAGGTGTCAGAGTATATAGTTTTCAACACCATTAACAGAAGTGCCAGAATTATCTTAGCATGGAGTATTCACGAAGAAAATATAAGAGCAAGGTTCTAACCTATTACTCAAAAATAGGAATTAACGAAAAATACAACACGAATTTATATTAATACAATCTCTGAAAGAAAATTATCATAGACAATACATTAACTAAGCAAAAGACCACAAATGCTGTGCTTTTAAAAATACTTCATATAAAGCATCAAAACGAATCTATAATTTAAAATTTTCAATATATACAAACCAAAAATTTCTTTTGTGTTTTTTAATCTGGCTCCACGAAGCAAGAGACTCTCTGGCCCCAAAGGTCTAGGGAAAAAATAACCAAAACCATTGAATATATTAAAATTTCAATTAAATTTTAAAATGGCATCTTTAGCAGACAGAAGGTACTTCAGCTATACTTATAACAATGCTTTCATAAAAAACCAAAATCTCTGCTACTGTAAAGCTGTCGAGGTCAATCACGATGCTAGTTACCATAACAACAAATATCTGCCTTAGCATTTCAGTCATTTTAAGATCAATGGCTCAGAAATAAGACTATGCCTGTAGATAAAATCACAAAGCCACTTGTTTCAGAAGTTTAAACATAAAACTCAACAAAACCAAAAATTAAGCAATGATTTTAAAATGTTTTACAGAAGATAAAATTTTAAAATTTTGAGCAAAATCAATTAACATTTTTCAAAGGGAAAATACAGAATTAAAATGCAGTGTAAACAGGTTGTGTGAAGAAAAAAATGCAAAATAAACATAAATTGTAGTATGATTTGTATGTAACTGTGTGAGTTCTGCACAATTAAAATTATACTAGGTTATAAAAGATAACATAGTAAGTGAGTTAGCACTTTTTCTAGGCAAGATCAACACTACAACTTGACTACTTGCACTGCATACTTCTTGGAGCACAGGTCTTCTTGCTGTCTGAATTTCTCTCCATAAAGGAGATATAAAACGAGAAGAAATAACTAGAAAGGAAAATTGTATTTTCTTAGTGATAGCAAATGATAAGACTCTGGTATGGATAAGTAAAAAAGCCTTGATTTTGTTGATATTCCTTATCATAAGGCTTTTCTGAAATATACATACACAGTTATCCAAATCAAACAGAATCTGAACCAATTCTGAAGAGGTCTGCAAACCTAAACACTGTAAAAAAAAAAATAATCCAATGAACACAGCAGAGGGGGCCAGGTGTTTGGGCTATGGTTAACAAGTATGGTTTTATTATACAGTCGTATCTGGAGCACCCTGAATGGATATTCCAAAATCAATTATTCAGGAGCCATATTATAGCTCTTTTCTACTTGGTTTTGGTTCCAGCAATGAATAGAAAAACTTTGAGCTCATGTTGGCATATAAAATTGGGATATAATGATAGAAAGCTTCAAATTAAAAGATAATTCATCAGTTCACTCTGGTTGCTTTAGCAAAGAACATGGCTCTCTCTTTTTTTTTTTAAACCATTCTACCTGCTAAGGTAACATAATTGATCTTTTCCTTTAACAGCCACAATATCTTAATGCAATCCATACTACGTATCCACACATGCATCCCAATATGTCACTGTAGAAATCAAACTAAAACCCAGTCACTGTTATTCGGCAGGGGTCCTACACTTAAAAAGACCTTGTTACAGTTTATTGAACGTGCTCCTGTGTTGACTTTTACTAAAAGTGTGAATCCATGCTGATGCATATTTTTGGTAGCTTGTCTTGAGGATTTCATTTTAAAAAATTCTCAACTCTTTATGTCAGTGACTTATTTCATGCAGTCAGTATAAATTGAATGTCTCCAGAAAAGAGGTGGAGTGCTAAGTTAATTAGAAGTTCAAGGGCTGATTCCAAGGTTTTTTCTAAATTCAGCTTTGTGGTCATGAGTAACAATGTAATCTCACCCTATCAGAAAATCTTTGAAATGACCCAAAGCCTTTCATGTAGGTACCAGAAATTAACCTGAATATTGAGGGAAAACAAATCAAAACAACCAAATAACCAATCAGAAGAGTATATAAGAAGTTATTGGCCAATAAATACTCTAGTTTGTAAGGAATGATCTTGAAGTGAAGAAGACCATAATATTTTTATTTGTTAAACATTACATAAGACATTTTTGTATTAGAGACTTATGTGGTGGTACGTTTAGATGTGTAAGGATCTGGATAGGGACCACTATGATTCCTTTGTTACTACCTAACATATCAGACAAAGAAATATGAGTACACAAATAATCTTACTAAATGTTTTTGATGTCATTTCCTGGCATTTGCTTCATCCTCATCTCATCTGCTGCTGCTAGAAATTACTAGAAGATGAAATGCTAAATGTTTTTAAATTAACCCTTTCCCATGATATGCTGCTTACTTATCTAATCTCCCTTTAACTCGATTTTAGTCCCTCCCCCAAACAATTCTCACTTAAAAGTGATTGGATAATACAAATTTATTCTTACCTTACAATTTCTTCCATTTGTTGAGTTATTATCATTCGTCCCATGAATCTATCAAAGAATTCACTATGTTACAAAAAAACTAATGATACATTACTTATGTCATCAATGGGTGGAAAATTTTAAGACAGTTCTGGCACTATTCTTAGATATGAAACAAAACCAACCTTTTGCATATACGAATGGTCCAATATTCATGTTAGAAATTACAAAGGTAAATCAGTCATTAAGCTTTAAAAAATTAATATTCTTAGAGTCGCAGGGAGCGATCAGTGGTGCTGTTTGCCTTATCATCCTCTTCTGCTTCACCCTTTTCCCTTTCCTGAACTGTTTTGTGGAGGAGCAGTGTAAAGCCTTCCCTCACCATGAAGTGTGCTCCTTGCCATCTGCTGCATAATCTTCCTGGGCTTCGCAGATGATGTACTGAATCTGCACTGGCGCTATAAGCTGCTGCTGCTGCCCACAGCTGCCTCACACTACTTCTCCTCGTGGTCTATTTCACCAACTTTGGCAACACGACCTTTTTGGTACCCAAGCCTTCTGCCCAATTCTTGGCCTGCATCTAGACTTGGGGATCCTGTACTATGTCTACATGGGGCTGCTGGCAGTGTTCTGTACATGACCCTCGTCAACTTGCTACTTGAAGTCTTTGGGCCCATGCATTAGAGAAACCTCACTCTGTTCCTGCTGCTGCTACATGTCATGGGCAGTGCTGTCACCTTCTCCAATGGGTACCAGCTTGTCCAACTCTTCTGTGATGTCTGAGTCCCCTAATCCATTGCCCTTTGCTTCACAGCCTCCAGAGTTCCTGACTCAGGCTGACCTCTTCTGGATCAAGACTGCCTCTGGGGCTCAGGTCTCTCCCACCCTTCATTCTCCTTCAGATTTTGTACTCAACATTTCCTTTCCCCTGTGATTATTGACATCCTGGGCTTTTCTTGCCCTCTAATGACTACTGATTGGACTTTGCCCATGGCTTTCTTCAACTTGCCACTCTCCCCTCTCCGTCCCATCTCTGCGGCCTTCTAAAGTGGGATACTGTAGCTTTTGTGCAGTTACCCACAACTCTGACACTCTAGGAATATGTTGGGCCTGGGGATAGAGGACACAGGCTCCTGGCTGGGGATAAGGACACAGGCTCAAAGATGACTTGACATTTGACTATAAATTAAGTATTCTGATGATTAAGAGCAGACTGGGGGCACCAGGTGCTCCAAATGGTGACAAGAAAGTATTGTCTTTAAAAAAAAAAAATAATATTCTTGCCATCTCTACTCCAGCCATGAGCAAACTAATGAATGAAAAAATGTTTTCAAAATGGCAATGCAAATGTAATATATTAATATGATTATCAGTTTGGTCATGATGAGACTTTATAATTGCTACACAGAGATGCATATATTATTTAGCCAACAATGAATGCTCATACATTTTTATCACAGTTTACTAAATAAAGACTCCGGTAACCAGAATCATTCACTCACTCATTCACATACTTATTCATGCACTCATTTATCCAACAAATATTCACTGAGCAACTACTATGTGTGAATTACGTGCTGAGGGTAGAGTAGTAAGTAAAGAAACTATTAGTGACCTCCAGAGCTTTTTTAACTTTTGGTTTCCTGAAATTTAGAGTGAGTGGCCTGTTGTTATAATGAATTTTCATAGCCTGGCCTTTTAGTTCCAATTTCCACTACCAAAACAGCTCCATAGCACAAGGTCAACTCAAGTGAAAAATTACTTTCTATAATAGTGAGAGGTAAATTCTGAGTTGAAGCAAATTCTGGGCAGAGCCTCATGTTAATCATTTAACTATGCAAAGAAATATTAAGCATGACTTTCCAAATGTCCCCTATTATCCCTCCTGTTTCCAGGTTACAGATGCTTTACCCCTTGTAGACTTTGGATTCATTATTTCTTGCTAATCTCTTACTTCTTCTTCCTTCAGTCTCCTGTATCAGGGAGAAGCACTGCTTTTTTTTTTTTTTTTTTTTTT